AGCGCTCCAAATGCAAACTTTGCATGCAACAATCCGGCAGCAATTGACAGCGCTCTGATCCAATGGCATACAGGCATCGTCAGATTGACAGTACTCTAGCCCAGTGATGTTGGGGGATCCAGTGGGGGCGGCAGTCATATTTCAGGGTGACCGTGCCACTCTTTATCATAACCCTGCTAAATATAGTGCCAGTACATGCTCATTGGTGCCCCCTTCAGCTGGTGGTGCCCTAGGCGACCGCCTAGCTTGGCTATGCCTAGAAACAGTACTGTGTGTTCCCATGAGTGGCCTTGCCAAAATACACCATAAACATACATTTTAATTCTATATCATACATCCATCTGCACATTAAAGTAGTTGGAAGGAAGAAATACAGAAGATACATTTTTACCCAGTAAATATCTTCCCTTACATGGCAGCACAAATGCTCTTTGAGAACAGAGATGATATGGAGCTAATATCATTCTGAGAAAAGATCTTTCTTGATTAAATTAACTTGTTCCAATGAAAACCATCCCAGCAAATGTTCCCTTAATGTTAGCATTTGGTTCCTGTTTGAGTGTTTCCAAAACCAATAATAACATTATTTTTTCAAAACCATTAAATATTGTTCCCAGAACAGTGCAGGTAATTTTTCTTCTTTTGAAGCATCCTAAACTATTGCAGAACTTTCCTCGATGATTACTTTGCCATGTAAAAAAAAAAAAAAAAAAAAAAAAAGTTGTTGCAACAACCTATACAGAGAATATTAAGGTTATGCAGTGTTTTATCTTTACACTTGATTACTTAATTCAATTTCTCTAGTATTTCTTGCCGTAGTCTTCAATAGGCTTGAAACCATTTATTTACATTAGTTAGTAAAGGTCTAGTATTACTTATGACAATTCTGCTTGTATTTTAGTGTGTTTGTTCTCGTGGGTCTGAAAACTCCTTAAATAAGCGAAGGTACAGTTTCTCTCCGGTGTGAATCCTATCATGATATTTCATGCGAGTTGAAAGATGGACTTGTTTGCACTTATACGGTTAATCATCAGAATGTATTTTTGGAGTGACTTTGAACAACTTGAATCCTTAAAGGGATAGTTCGCCCAAAAATGAAAATTCTGTCATTAATTCCTCACCCTCATGTCATTCCAAAGACATTAGACCTTCGTTCATCTTCGGATCACAAATTAAGATATTTTTAGCGAGAGCTTTCTGACCCTGCATAGACAGCAATGCAACTGAAATGTTCCCAGGCCCAGAAACATAGTAAGGACTTTGATAAAATAGTGACATCAGGGGTTCAACCGTAATTTTACTAAGCTACGAGAATAATTTTTGTGAGCAAAGAAAACCAAAGTAATGACTTTATCCTCACCTCCAAATCATGTCTTCTGCATTTGGTTCAGAAATATTTGCACTTGCATTTTCTTTGCATTGTGTTCATGAGCTTTTAGACTACATAGATTTTAAAAAAATCCTTCCTGCACTAGTCGCAGATAAACTCCTCCTTCACTTTGCACGAAGTCTTCTCTCTTCTGCGTTAGGAAAGCTGCTGTCGCATTTCTCGCAACTGAAGTCTTTCTGCTCAGTTTGTTTTCTCTCAATTCTCACTAAATTTCTTCTTGGGACAAATGTTTTCTCACAGGTGATGCAGGAAAAACTCTTGGCCTTCAGCTGATCTTTTGATGTCGAGGCTGTTTCTCCATAACCACCGCTGACATCTGAAATGAACAAAATGTTAATAAAATGTAGTACTTTGCAATATTCTCAAAGAGTTTGTGAATCATTTACGTATCCTACCTCTGCCGGCATCTGACGCTGTTACGCCACCACCTTTGTAAGTATTGATACTGGAAATGGTGCCAGATGCACCTATGCATACCGAAAGGATTGTTAACCTTACACTTAAGGCTTGGAGAGAGGTACTGGCTATGCTGCATGATGCACATCCTGGCATCGTACACATGAAGGGACTTGCAAGGAGTTAAAATCTTCTTGGGGCACGATGCTCTCGCGGTACAAGATGGTCCTGGCTGCATATTGACTTTGCGGGCCCTTTCCAAGGCAAAATATTTCTCATAGTTGTTGATGCACACAGCAAGTGGCTAGAAGTGTCTCTGATGAGTTCCATGTCATCACCAGCAGTTATTAACACACTGAGACTGCTTTTTGCAACACATGGGTTGCCCGATAGTCATATGGCGCTTTTCCACTGCGTGGTACGACTCGGCTCGGCACGGCTCAGTACGCTACGACACGGCACGGCTCGGCTCGCGTTTCCACTGCAGTTCAGTACCGCTTTAGAGTGGGCGGGAT